GGTGTGGTTTAGGGTTTAGGGTTTAAGGTTTAGGGTTTAGGGGGGTTTAGGGTAATGTAAGGGCCTTTATAACTACCTAATATTATTTTGGGAATTTTGGGGGTTCCTTAAGATAACTATTGTTTTGTATACCCCAAAACCCTATTCTAATTATTAAGGCCCCTCTAGTATGTAATTAGTGCTTTATGAAAAACATTGGGGGTTGGGGTTTAGGGTTTAGGGTTTCTGGGTCTAGGTCTGAGTGGGGGTGCACAGCTCCTGGCCTTACCGGGCCTGCCTCCAGCCGCAAACCCTCAAGCCCCAAGTCGTCAAACCCTCCTCCGCGAAACAATGAGGGCTCCCTTGTTTGCCAGTGTGACATTCAGCTGTAATCAGGGAACCCCGTCATGAAACCAGCCAGAGAGGTCCTACTGGGGACTCAGCCTAATGCAGGGGGCCTTAAAAATTAGAATAAGGCTTTGGTCCCCATTATCAAGGCCCTATATTAAGCCTAAGTGGTAAGCCCCAAAGCCTTTTGGGGCTCATATTTAGAATCCTATAAGGTAATCCCAACAGGGACCTTATAGGACTCTAAATATGAACTCCCTAAACCCTAAACCCTAAACCCTTAAACCCTGAACCCTAAACCCTAAACCCTAAACCCTAAACCCTAAACCCTAAAAGGAACTACATACGTACTATGGGGCCTATGGGTAAGCCTAAGTGGTAAGCCCCGAAGCCTCAAGAGACCTCAGCGCGACCACGGCAGTCTAAGGCCTTGAAAGTTTGAAGAAACGCAGGTTTAGGCTTTTAGGGTTTAGGGTTTAGGGTTTTAGGGCTTAGGGTTTAGGGTTTAGGGCTTAGGGTTAAGGGTTTTAGGGCTTAGGGTTTAGGGGGTTAAGGGTTTAGGGTTTACTTGGGGTTTGGGGTGTAGGGGGTTAATTAAAGTTCAAGGAAAGAGAGGATCAGATGTTAAGGTCTATCTAGAACTCGCTGCCTTTGCAAACCCAACCGTAACCCCACGCGCCCCTCGACCTTCCTAGAGAAGGTTCCAGAATTTTGCTTGTCAGGTTTCCCTGAACTGTACATCAAAGATTCCCTGCATCAGCATTGGTTTAGGGTTTAGTGTTTAGGGTTCGAGGTAGTGTAGCTCAGGTGACAATCCGGGCGTCCCAAGCCCAGAACTGCAGGCAAAAGCAGGGGAAGAAGTATGTGTGTAAAGGCAGATTACCTCTTTATCACTACCTACATATCCACGATGCACCCAGAAGAGCCATACATCCCTGAAGTAATGAAAGGAAGTATGCCCGAGCCGGATCCCTCCTAACGACCTGAAGGAGCGTATTTTCCTTGGTTCGTACGAAGGCGAAAAAAAAACAGATCTCCGAGCTCCCCGACTGTTTGTCAGCGACCCACTCACCTTCGTAAGTGGAGCCGTCGATGTGTTGGTACCTCGGGGCTCAAGGCTTACGCTAAGAGTCCATGCACTTAGGGTTTGTTGTTTAGGGTGTAGGGTTTAGGGACTCAAGTATTAGGTGCTTGGGGTTAAGGTACAAGGAATGTCGGCTAGTGCTTCGGGGGCGCATATGAATATTGTACTTGCTGGAACCAACAGGATCGTGGGACTTTGCAGGTGGGGTTGAAGGGCCCTCATGGGGGGGAGGACACAAGTAGATAGACGTAGCGAAAGTAGAGCTAACTTGCGAAAGCCGAAAACCCAATCAAAACCCGAGCCTGCCAACCCTAAATCCCCAAAGCCCCTAAATCCTTAAATACCTAAGCCTTTAAACCCCTACACCCTTGATCCTTAAACCCGTAAAACCTTTAACCCCCAAATCCTGCAAAAATAAACCCTAAACCCTTTCAGGATCCCATGTTGGGTTGAGGGCATCGGACTTATCACTACCACTCCAAACTACCCCGAGGTGGGTACATCCGGTCTGAAGGTTGCTGGGTGTAGGGTTTAGGATTCAGGGTTTAGAGGGTTTGGGGTTTAGAGTAGAGCTTTAGGGTTTTAGGGTTTTGGGTTTAGGATTGAGGGTTCAGGATTTTAGTTTCGGGCTTCCTATACCTTACGGTCATTACGTAGCCGAAACAAACCTTACAGTTACTCATCCTTGTCGCGCCCACAGTAAACCCCATAATGTCTGCAAAACCCCAAAATGTCTAAAACCCCATAATGTCTGCAAAACCCCATAATGTCTGTAAAACCCCATAATGTCTGTAAAACCCCATAATGTCTGTAACACCCCATAATGTCTGTGTTCCTACACACCCTGAGCCCCCAAAAAGCTAGCCCTTGTCACAACGAACCAAACGCCTCTGTACGAAAAAGCCCCATACATAACTAAAGGAAACTAGAGCTGGGGAGTTTAAGGTTTTTAGGGCTTCTATACGGCTTCTATAAGGTATATAGCACCTTCTATAAGGCTCCTATAACGGTAACTACCCACCTGAAAATGTCCTAGACATAACCCTCAATAATTGCTTGCCTTGCCTGCCATGACCATGAGCTTTGTCATCTTGCCATTCACCCTGCCACAGTCTCGGGTTTTGCATTTATCCCTAAACCCTAAGGTACCCTTAAACCCCCTAAACCCTAAACCCTAAACCCTAAACCGACCTAAAGTACCCTTAAACCCTAAACCCTTCAATCAGAAATTTGCTCTACAAGTCGGAAGGTGTTGTCGAGCCTTTCGTTGCAGGGGGGCCCCCTTTTGCGGGTGGTGAAGGGCTTGTGCGCTCAGGGCTTGAGATGCCTCCCGGACCTGACGGTCAAGAGTATCTGGATACACATGGGTAGTTGTCAAAATTATGGTCCCTTTTGGGGTACCCTAAATAATAGGTGCCGTATTATAATAAGGACCCAAAAAGGGACCATCATTTTGACAACCACCCGCATAATGTAGGGGTCTTAATAATCAGAGTAGGGTTTTAGGGTTTTAGGGTTTAGGGTTTAGGGTTTAGGGCTTAGGGATGCACTTTATGTAGGGGCCTTAATCATCAGAGTAGGGTTTTAGGGTTTAGGGTTTAGGGCTTAGGGATGCACTTAATGTAGGGGCCTTAAGAATCAGAGTAGGGTTTTTGGAGGCATATTCTACTCTACTTTTCATAAAGGAACCCCACAATAACATAGGTAAACACATAACCACCTCAAGCCGTGAACTCTGGACTTAGCCGTGCCACTTTCCCAAAACTCAAACACCCGAAATCTTGAACCGACGCCGTCGGTAAGCGCTGCCCTTCCCTAAACCCTGAACCCCTAAACCCTAAACCCTAAATCCCTAAACCCTAAACCCTAAACCCTAAACCCTAAACCCTAAACCCTAAACCCTAAACCCGAAGTCCTAAACCCTCAGACCTGAACCCTAAACCCTAAACGCCCTAAGTCCTAAACCCTCCAACCAGAAGCCTAAGCGCTCAACGCTCTGAGGCCCCAAGTCCTATAAACCCCTAAACGCCCGAAACCCTGAACACCCGAACCCCTGAACCCCTAAACCCCTGAACCCCTAAACCCCTAAAGCCCTAAACACCCGAACCCCTAAACGCCCTAAACCCTAAACCCCTAAACCCGAACTGAGTCCTAAGCCCTCAAACCTGGACCCTAAACCCTAAACGCCCTAAACGCCCTAAACCCCTAAACCCGAACTTCGAGTCCTAAGCCCCCCAAAAAGGCCTTTAGGGTTTAGGGTTTAGGGGTTTAGGGTTTAGGGTTTAGGGTTTAGGGTTTAGGGTTTAGGGTTTAGGGTTTAGGGCCACCCAAGCCCGCCTCGTAGATGTCGCCATCCGCATGCACGAACTTTCCGTAGCCCGCGGCCTTGACCGGCAAAGAGCCCCGGTTCAACTCTTTGGTCCCCTTTTTGGGTTTTTAGGGATTTTGGGGATTTTAGGGGTTTGGGGTTTAGGGTTTAGGGTCCTTTTCGGGTTTTTAGGGATTTTAGGGATTTTAGGGTTTAGGGGTTTGGGGTTTGGGGTTTAAGGTCCCCTTTTGGGTTTTTAAGGGGATTTTAGGGTTTAGGGGTTTGGGGTTTGGGGTTGAGGGTTTGGGGTGAAGGTTTTTGGGTTTAGGGTTTAGGGGTTTAGGGGTTTGGGGTTTAGGGTTTAGGGTTGAGGGTTTGGGGTGAAGGTTTTTGGGTTTGGGGTTTAGGGGTTTAGGGTTTGGGGTTTGGGAGCTTAGGGTTTAGGGTTTAGGGTTTCTTGCAGGACGGTGAAGGGTTCATAAGTTATGAGGGTTTAGAGCTTAGGATCTGGGGATCGGGTCTGGGATCTATAAGGGTTTCTATAAGGTTGCCATGAGGGTTTAGGGTTTAGGGTTTAGGGTTTAGGGTTTAGGGTTTAGGGTTTAGGGTTTAGGCTTTATTAATTAAGTCTTAAGAAGAGTTGTAACTGGGTAGTTCTCTGAGTTAGGGCCCCCGTGGGCTTAGGGACCTAACAGACACCCTAAGTACTGGTAGTTCGAGAACTACCCATAGACATGGACACAGATAGATGGATGGTCAGGGAGTTGAGGGTTCATCGTGTTTTCAGCAATTTAGCAGGTCTAAGCCTTAAGGGGTCCGGGGTTCCGAAACCCTCTGCAACCCTAAACCCTAAACCCAAACCCCTAAACCCGGAAACCCTGAATCCTAAACCCTAACCCTAAAGCCCCAAACCCTAACCTCGGCGTTATATTAAACCCTAACCCCTAAACCGCAAACCCTACGCCTCGGCGCATTTTTTGGCGCCATGCAGCAAGGCGGGTCCGGGCGACAGCTCCAGGAGCTTCAGGATGGCAACAGATCGTAGGCCGACCATGGGCACCCCCAAATAGCACGGTTTAGGGTTTAGGGTTTAAGATTTAGGATTTAGGGTTTAGGGTTTAGGATTTAGGGTTTAGGGTTTAGGGTTTAGGGTTTGGGATTTAGGATTTAGGGTCTAGGATT